ACAACCGTCGAAGTAGTGCAAAGGATTTTGAATCTCGAACAATTCTTCACAATTTGGAATTGCAAGAAAAAAATTGATTATGCAACAAAATATAAACAATTTAGAAATGCAAGAAATAAAATGATTATGCAACAACAAAATAAATATGTAAGACAATATAAACAATTTACAAATGCATGCAACAAAATATAAATAAATTAGAAATGCAAGAAAATATAAATTTAATATGCAAGAAACAAAAAGTTACGTTAACTTGAATAAAACGAGAATTATAAATATTTTACCTCATCAGTAAGATTTTGACCACTTCGAATGTTGTCCCTTGCTTTTGCCAAAGCATCTCTCTATTTCCCTAACTCTTTATTCAAAATTTTCCACCTGGATTGCAAGGCCATTTCCGTCCGAGTCGAACCGGATCTATCAGCAAATTCTTCATGAATTTTTCTCCACATATGAGAAAATTTCATCTCATTGCCTGACATAGGGCAATGACTAACTTTCACCCAAGACTCACACAACACAATATCTTCCACAATAGTCCAAGCGCCTCCGGCTTCGACAGAAGAGGCCATTCGTTTTTTGATACAAATGGAAACTAGTAGAAAAATGTGAGTGAAATGGAAAAAATATTGGAAGGAGAAGAGTTTGTATGAAGATTTGGTGTGGAAAGTGAATAAAATTGATAGGTATTTATAGGGAAAAAAATTTGAATTTTTTTGGCTAAAAAAACAAGGGTCGTCGGATTTCTGGAAAAAAAACCATCGCATCGCCTAGGAAGCACCACATGGCATTTTTCCGTTGGGTTCTGTCAACGCTGACGTCAGCGAGCGGAAGTCAAATTTTTTTACCGTCAGGTTGCAGCCTAAGCAAGGGAAAAAAATTTGAATTTTTTTGGCTAAAAAAACAAGGGTCGTCGGATTTCTGGAAAAAAAACCATCGCATCGCCTAGGAAGCACCACATGGCATTTTTCCGTTGGGTTCTGTCAACGCTGACGTCAGCGAGCGGAAGTCAAATTTTTTTACCGTCAGGTTGCAGCCTAAGCAGGATTTGCTTGTAGGCTTGCTCAGTTCGGTGGGTCCCAGGACTTGCTCGGGCTGGATTTGCTGCGCTGGAGGGGGAATTGCGCTGGACATGCTCTAAGAGAGAAAACCAAATATAAGAGAGTTCATGAGTACATCAAAGTGTTGAGCAAAGGATGTGAGAGAAACAGATTGTGAGGATAGTGTTCTAAAGGGGTTTTTATTGGTAAACCAAAGTTGTAACCTATCTTCATTAGTGAAATTTCTTAAGGAGATCACCAAAGAGAATGTAAGCAAATTGCTAAACCTCTATAAATTCTTGTGTCCTTTGTGCTTGGTTATTTTCTATGTGCATGTGTGAGTGTTTGACACATTCATTATGTGTTTGTCTAAAGTCCATCAACAACAAGATCATTGGGAGTTTTCTGCTCAACATAGTTACGGTGATTGCTAAAACATAGAGCCTGAACTTGCTTTAAATCGAAATTAGAAAATGCCAAACAACGACATCTTCGAGGTACATTCACTGAAACTAAAATTCAAGACAGTCTGCATGCAACGCAACAAAGCCTTGGTTGAAAAGTAAAAAGAAAAACTCCTATTTTCTCTTTGTTTCTATTGGTCATTGACGGTGGCAATTTAAACATCACGAGTGCAACTTCTGCCTTAGATAAGTTTTACAGTTTTAATGCAAAAGAATCATCCTTCGAGCATGGCCTTAGCAGCATCAATCAATAGTGGTCTGAATTCTTTTGAAGCTCGACCAAGCACTGTGTATCCTTCCTTGTCTTCCACATCAACATCAGCTCCGTGCCTTACTAGAAGGAGAGAAACCTGTCACCAACATAAATTAATTTAACAGTGATTTGATAAAACCTTGAATTATGCTTTCTGCTGCTACACTAGACTAGAAGTTAATACAAAGTTCTTCCCATGTCAACTTGGCAACCAAATTGATAACATAGAAATACACCGTTAGTATCTACCCAGCGGGAAAAAGGTAATAACACAAGGTCTCTGAGTAAAAGGTGGGAAAACAATACAAATTGGTTCAAACCTAAGGAGAAATAATATAAACGGGTCCATGAATGTTGTATATTTTGCAAATTTCCTCATCATTAAGTTGACAATTGTTTTAGATTTCACATTTTTTATACAAAAAAGAGGGATATTGAATGAATAAATAAATAAATTTATACAAAAAAGAGAGACAAATACACAACGTGCCTATTTGTCAAGTAATAACGAAAACAGGAATGAAAAGCGTTTGGATGAAGAATTAAACACAGCAACATGCCTCATATATCACAAGCCATCCAGCTTTAGTGGACAGATTAAGCACTCATTCAACAGGCTCTAAAAAGCTCATATATTCCAATCAAGTTAATAATTAAAGAAAAGAAAAATGAAATACTATAAATTAAAACCAAATATTCATTTACTAAGACCTCTCTCCCAAACTATTTATTTCATTCCTATAAATAGAACCAGAAATGCTCGATCCCAATTAGCTTATTCGAGCGTGCATGAGGAAAGTAGATTCAACAAGGCCTTGTTTATATCCAAAATGCAATAAAAGTGCAATCAATAATGTAATTCTTTAACTACCAAACACAAATAACCATGTGTGTGAGCCAAAAGTTGTAAGAATCTCTTTCTCAGGAAGCACCCAAACCTACCTCTTGGTTATAGCAAATCACTGCACTCATAATAGGAGTCTGACCCAATCTATCAACAGCATCAACCTCTGCGCCCTCCTCAATTAAAAGTTCACACAACTGTGATTTCGCAGTGCTAGCTGCACGGTGCAATGGGGTGCAACCAACCTAACCGCAATGCATACCATATAATTAGAATTCACCAATTACAAGAAATTAAAAGAACATGTGAACATGACATCAACACATGGTGCTCATGAAAATGGATATACATTGAAAGTAAAGTTCCCCAGATAAAACTCTATTGTTTGAAGTTACACACCTTGTCTTTCAGATTAACCTTTGCCCCATGTGAGATCAAAATTTGAGCAATCTCCAACCATCCCTTGCTGGCAGCATAATGAAGGGCAGAGCGACCCCCACCATTTTTCAAATTAACATCAGCTCCTGTTAAGAACAATAAATCAGAACATTGAGATTCCAATTAAACCACTGGTCTAAATTTACCATTCACAAAGCCTAACATTGCCTAACCAAACACACAGAGCCAAACTTGACATGATAAAACAATTAAAGGTGCTAAAAACGACATAAAGCAGAAACTAGGAAATCTGACACCTTTACCTTTGCTTAGCAACAGCTCAACTATTCCAGAATTCCCAATGCTGGCCGCAGAATGAAGCGGTGACCATCCATCTTCATCCACACTGTTTATCACATTTTTTGATTCATCAGCAGCTAGTAGTACCTTTACCACCTGCCTCCACAGATAGCCACAAAATCATCAACTTTGAAGCAGAGAGCATTAAAATTGAAGCAAATTGAGGATACTTCACAAATTTTATTTTCAATTCAAACTGAGAGCAAATAGAAAACATAAGACAGCAAATTTCCTATTATTTTCCTAAAGTTTCTGGGCAACCAAATGGGATACGGAGGAATGTGAAAGAAGACGGACCTCAGAGTTACTCGAAGAGACGGCGACGTGGAGGACGGAGCGGGCGTCATCGTTCCTGAGAGACAAAGCTTCGGCAAGCTGCTTTTGAGAAAGCGATTTGAACACCGAAGCATCACCAGCCTCAGCGGCTTTAAACAAGTCTTCGGCTTTGGGTTGCTGCTCGGATGACTTGGGAGGATCGATCTCCATGTCCATGGCGAGCTGTACGAAACAAGGTCGGAGTTAGGGTTTTGGCGAATTTCAATTCTTCCCGGTTTTTTTCGTGCTGGACAAGTCGTGACTTACTGGTGATAGGACGGTAGTCCCACTGTGCGGTGGAATTGTGATATGCTTGTGTGCCACTCCGAGATTGATCTGGCCGGTACATATAACCTAAGAAACTTAAAAAACAAATACATAAAAAAATAAATGTAACAAGAACTGAATTTGATTTAGTGGTACTTTTCTTCTCATCATAAAAAAACCAGATGTGAAGTGGTTCGTTGATTGAAGAAATAGTTCCAAAATGCATGCTGCATGTAAACAAGGTGTCCCAAAGGGGTGACCTGAGAACACAAGAGGCATTAGTTATTGAATGCCTCTTGTGTTCTCAGGCATCACTCCTTTGGGGCAACCATATGTTATATGATCTGGAATTAACTAGCAATGATTGAGAAGGAGCACTAAGGTGCTTGTGTTACTTACTTGTAAGTCGCTATTGATTATATAAGGGTTGAGTCTTGCGTAAATTAAAACCTTCATGTGTCACAATGTGGTCATTTTATCGGCATCATAGAATGTCGTCATGTACAGATATTAGATAGAAAAAGCTTTGGCTCCTTTCGCCAATGAAAACAATACACATCATGGAATGACAACACTCTCTACTCTCTCTTTGGTACGCAATGGCGTTCGTGCCCTTGAAATTGAGAGAAACAAGGGTCTTTTTTGTCATTTTGTCCCAACCACCCTAAGCCCAGAAAAACAAGCCCACAAATTACAAGTATGGTAATGGGCACCCCAATTCACAAGTAAGCGGCCCAAGATTGACAACTCAAATTCAAATCATCTGCCCTTTGCACCTTTCAGTCTCTTTCAAGCAGTTGGAAATCAAGTTGAAGAGGGGGCGTGTCGTCTCCAGTTGCTGCTCAATGACCTCCACTCACAAATATCTGTGATGTTTATCTTTAAGAGGGTGAAGAGGATGAGCAGCAAGAGCCACAAGAAACGTGTGGCCGACAGGGTTGCCCGTGTCCCCCCTCTAACTGACGCTGAGAGAGGCGAGGCTGAGGAGGACCCATCAGCCCATTAATATTTGTGCTTTCTTGCTTTTACTATTTATGATTATACAGAAAAAAAAAAAGCAACGAAAAAGAAGACCATCCATTAACTTAACATCACCCAAAATAAAAGCTTTGGTTGTGGATGCCGCGTGAATAACGGGTATATCACACAAAAAAAAGTCACAAACCCACCGACACTCGTATATATTCATTCACCACTCACCCATTCAAGCAAGTCATATTATCTTGGCAAATTACACTATCTTTCTTTGAATTAAGAAATGGATCGGCGCTCAGCTTATACTTCTGAGAATTATGAGGAAGATGAAGGTCAGAATCAGTATCGCGAGAGAAAACCCACCACTGGGACCAGACACAAAGCTGCTGCCAAACCAGCTTACACTTCTGCTGAAGATTATGAAGAAGAAGAACAAGACCAGGATCAATATCGCGAGAGAAAGCCCGCCACTGGGACCAGACCCAAAGCTTCTTCGAGACCCTCCACAGCTTACGCTTCTGCTGAAGAAAACGAAGATGAAGAGCGAGATCAGGAGGATCAGTATCGCGACAGAAAGCACACCACTGGGACCAAACCCAAAGCTGCGAAACCATCAGCTTACGCTTCCGCTGAAGATGATGAGGATCAATATGGCGGGAGAAAAGCTAGCAATGTGACCAAAGCCAAACCTGCAAAGCCATCCGCAGCTTACGGTTCTGCTGAAGATTATGAGGAGGAAGATCAGGACCAATACCGCGAGAAAAAAGTGGCCGCTGGGGCCAGAGGCTATGGCCATTCCGACAAGCATGCAGCTGCGGCGAAACCATCGACGGCCGAAGGTTATGAGGACGAAGAATATCAGGAGGATCAATATCGCGAGAGGAAAGCGCCCACCGGGACGGTGACCGGGGCCCACCCGGACAAACATGCAGCGGGGGGGAAGCCAGCCAAAGGCGCGAAGCCATCGACCAGCGAGCTGATGTCCAGCGCCAAGATTATCGCCGGAGTAGCGAAAGGCGAGAAGGTGGACAAGGCCAAGGTCTGCGAGGCTGCGAGCAACATCCTAGACGCTGCCTCTTCCTACGGCGGGCTCAATGAGAAAGAAGGCCTCGGCAGCTACGTCAGCAAGGCCGAGGATATGCTCCGCAAGTACGGCAGCGGCGGAAGCGGCGGAGGAAGCGGTGGTGAAACTGCGGGAAAGGAAAAAAAGCAGCATGATTCGGGCAGCGGTGAGCATGAGACCAAGAAGAAACCCAGTAAAAACGATGAGGATGAGGGCGGATCTGGTGGATTTGGGGATTATTTTAAGGTGGCTCAGGGTTTCTTGAAGGGTTGATTATGAAAAAGTGATGATTAATCACTAATTATGTTATGTGGCCTTAATTCTGTACTTAAGTTTTGGGCCTTGTTCTGCTGTTTTAGAGGCCCTCTGTTTGTTTTTCCTATTTTTGGTGTAGTTTTTGTTTGTGCTGGCCTGGCCTAGACTTTTTAGTCTTGGGCCCGCCTTCTTGTGTAATGTGTTCGATGAATAATGTACTGTAGATTAATTTGCCATTTCTCTTTTATTTTATTTTTACAAAAGTAATATTTAAAACCATAACGTAAGCAAGGAGGTTTGAATTCGGGGTATACTACTTTGACCAACTAATATAATCCACGTTTCCCTATTCTCAATGTATCATAGTTTCCTAACCTACCCATATCATGCAATATCTCATTCCTAGCGGGCCAATTGTGTTTTGGATTTGAAAAAGTCAAACATTATTGTCAATCCAGTTGGATTTTTGTTGATAGTTGGGCAGCTCACCCATATCGTCTATTGGTCGAGAATATATATATAATTACTATATGTATCCCACAAAACTTTGAATTTAATATGATTCAACAACACTCAACTCAAGTTCCTACTTAAAAACTAGGATTTTCAGCCGTTTTGCTCCTTGAACTATGACCCTAATCGAACTTAACTCTCTGAACTAAAAAGTTAGTCAATTAAAAAATATCGCCAATTTCATCCATACCGTTAAATTTTTCAAATTTCATCCACTTTTTCGTCCAAAAAGTCACGTGTCATCCACGTGAGTTACTATTTATTTTTTTTTTACTATTTAAAGCATTTGAAAAAACATAAAAATGAAACCGAAATATTAAAAAAAACTCACCAGCGCTCCCACCTAACACCCACCCTTGCCACAAGCTTCTCTCCTTCCTTGACACACCACAATCAGAAGCCTCTCCCCTTCCCTGAATCTCCCTCTCTTATAACCTGTGAGACCTAAGCCGACGCCATCGCTGACAACCAAGACTCCACCAAAGGAAACTCCAACTCTAATAACCTGAATATGAATTCGAATTTGTACTCAAGTTCCAACTTGCAGCAATTTTCATTGAACTTGAAGTCCAAGACTATGATTATCAACCCCAACTTTCTCCTCAGCCACAAGTTCTGTACATTCTTCATTCCTCGAATTTCTTTCGATTTTGCGGATGATTAATTGGTGTTTGTTCGAGAAATTTGGGGATTTGGTTGCATGGAAAATATAGGAAAGGAAGCCAAAGAAATGCGTAGGTCTTAGAGCACTTCCACCCATTTGCCATGGCAAAGGGTAAGGGCAAGGGCAAGGGCTGCTACTATTCATGTGAATAGTGACAGCCCTTGCAAAATGCTTGTGGTGTTTCCACCCATTGCCATGACAACACTATTCACATGAGATATGAGGAGAGGAATTTGTATAGAGTTTTGGTGTGGGAAGTGAAGAATATTACTAAGTATTTATTTTTTTAAAAATTCTGAAATTTTTAGTTTTTTTTAAATAAATTTTTTAAATTTTTTTTGTTGCTGATGTCAGCAAACACAAGCTAGAGCACATGCTCGTTTTGCCTGCGTGCTGGCCTGGTTTCGTGGGACCCGCACCTTGCCTTGGCAAGTTTAGCCCGTTGGAACTCGTCACCTGGGCTTAGGCCCTGTCCTGCCCTGGCTTGGGGCAACCGGTGGAAGCACTATTAGTTATGGTGGGATGAGGCTGTGGAGAAGAGGCTGGGGCTAGGTTTTTTATATTTTTATTATATATATATATATATATATATTTTTAATATTTTTTTTTCTTTTGATTTTATGTATTAGCTTTTATTTTATTCGAAAATACAAATATACCTCTAAAATTAACTAACAAATTGGATGAAATTATCTAAAATCTAATTGCAAGAGTGAAATTGGCCATTTCAATTCATTCGGGTGCTAAATTGATAGAATTGATAGATTTTGTAGTTCATGGGGTAAGTTCGATTAGAGTCATAGTTCAGGGAGAAATGACACATTACTTTAAAAACTAAGGAATTGTAGAGGATGAGATGTGATTATGTGAATAAGCCAAGTCAAAAATTGGCTAACAATATATTTAGTAACCAAAGAAACTAAATGGATTCTACAATAAGCCAATATGAATTCCATTAACTCACTGGTGTAACTCCAACCCAAAAAAAAAAAAAAATTACTGATGTAACAAATTGAGTTACCTTTTAAAAAAAAAATTCTAATTGTCTAATAGTCATCTTTTAGAATTTTTTATTTTTTATTTTTTTATAGAAGCAATATTTTATCTTAAACTAATCTAAATTATGTGGAGTTGAGGAAGATTCGAACTTAGGTGTAAAGTAGGGAACACATTCGCTTTAGCCAACTTTGCTAAGCACATGTCTGGAGTCATCTTTTAGAGTTTAGTTATCTATATATATAAAGCAAAAGGCAGAGAATAGTAAAACATTCAAAATACCAGAAAATGCCCTTAGTTAATGCAAACATTAAGAATTGAAATTATTAATTAAATGAGGATAATATGGTAATTTCATACTTTTTCATTTTAAAAAATATTAAAATTAATGGATCCTATTTTTATGGAACACAACTACCCATTATCTCGTAGGCGCAGAAGCATGTGCGGAGAGGCTAGTAAGAAATATTAATATTAACTCACTGTGATAAAATATTACTGAAAATACAAATTATTCTTATGATTCTAATCCTAACCTCTACATTTTTCTTTTCCAACCAGACCCAACTAGAATCCTTGTGGCACGGGCTTCGCCACCTGGCACCGGGCAATTTTTTAACACCGTGGTATTCGCACGACATCGTTTCTGGTTTCTTTCTTTTTACCTGTCAGCGATTCAGTTACATGATACAAACACGCTACGGCAATCGGAGAGACAGAGGAAGCGAGCTGATCATTCATCGTGGTTCTTTCTCTCTTCTTTCCAAATCCCGTGGAATTTCAATTTTCGATTGAAGCAATTGAGGTAACGTTTGGTTTCACCCCTTATTTCTTCATCATTTCGAATTTACTTTCATAAAATCTATGCCAAATTGAAATGTTGGGCAATTTTTCCTCATAAAAATTCTTAATTTCCGTTGTACTCCCAAGTCATATTTCACTCAGTTCTTTGTTGGGTAGTTGGTTTCCTAGCTCATTATGTCGTATCTGCGTAAATGTTTGTTTCTCTACTCTATCAGAATTCAATTTGACGTTTTATTTGGTTTTGGTGGGATAATTTTGGCCTAATAATGCTGCATTGTGAAGAAAAAAAAAAGTTTTAATATATTAGAATTAGATAATGGCAAATTATTTCATATAAGAAATTGTTGCAATTTATACTCTGTTTTTTTAATATCTTTTATGTTTTTATTTTTCATGCTAGACTTCGTTCTATGAACTAGCTTGTTGTTGACAGGATACATTAGAAGAATTCTTGAAGATTCAATTTGGTGTTGCACCTTCTACAGTTTTAGCAGTTAACCCCTTCTCTTGTATCACCCTTGTTTGTCTGGTGTGATGTGGGGTTTTGCTTCTAATGCCATCACAAGCATTGGACTTAAAAGAAGCTCCTCAGAGCCAAGCCGGGTTTGTTTGGACTCCTCGGACGATGAAGTCTGCTCAAATTCAAGCCAAGAGGAGGGGTTAGAATGCCCTATATGCCTGGAATCTTTTAACATTGTCGAGAATGTACCCCATGTCTTATGGTGTGGTCATACCCTGTGCAGAAATTGTGTCTTGGGGCTTCAATGGGCTCTCTTTAAATTCTCCTCTCAAAAGTTTAAGATCCCATTTTTCATTGCTTGCCCGTGGTGCCATTTGTTGTCTTTGCGGCTGGTTTATAAGGGGAATCTAAAGTTTCCACGCAAGAATTTCTTCCTTCTCTGGATGATTGAGAGCTTCAATGGTGAAAGGGTAAAGTTCGGTTCTGCACTCAGTGGGGAGAATCAACAAATTGGTTCTCCAAGAGCAAGTTTAGCTATTGGAAATCAAACTGGCAACGGTAACCTGAGGAGGACCCATTCTAGTTGCCCTTCGCTGTCGAGGTATAACCACGATGATAGGGGTAGTCGTGTCGAGCGGAATCATTTCTCCCTGCAGAAGTCTTTGGAAAGTTTCATTCACATTACATCCAAGTTCCCATTAGTCATAGTGTTTCTTTTGATTGTCTTTTTTGCAATACCTGGCTGTGCTATTATTTTGGCTCTCTACTTGTTACTCACAGTGGTTTTTGCAATCCCCTCTTTCTTCCTATTGTACTTTGCATACCCTATTTTGGAGAGGTTGGTGAGGGAGATAACCTCATGACCAGGCACTATTGGCTCGTCACCCTTTTTAGAACCTCTTCCAGTTGTCATCCAATTTTTTTTTCATCGAAGTAGAGCGCATTATGCTAACTTGAGTCTTCGGCATCCAGAGCACTCTCGGATTACGTGGTATGCATGACAGTGGAAGTTTCAAGAGTATATGAGGCATGTTTCTTGGGTAATTTGTAAGGTCTGGCGTCTGAGTTTGAATGATTGTCATTAATGTAACTACCATTGTTTATTGGAAGTGGCTGATTTCCTATTGCTCAACTGTTTTTGAGGAAGTATTTGAAGTTGTGTTAGTGAATTTTTACTTGCACGCTTACTTGAAGGCCGGCAAAAATGACTGAAAAAAACTATTTAATTTTCATGTCTAATCTGTTTCATGAAATCTGTGCAACATACATGAATAGATTTGGGAAAGTCATTTGACTGCTGTAAACCTTTGGGAGGCCTAGGCTCCGAGGCTCGCCCTTATTCGTTATACAATGAACAGTCAGTATTATTGCCTTCTAATTTCAGCTTGATGCATGCTGCGATACCTTCTACATTCAACAGCTCAAGCGTGGGATGTCTGATTGGTTTCTTGACAAAGGCCCTGTCTTTTACTCTTAACTTCATTTGTGGTCTTAGTACCATCTAATTAGTTGATTTGTACGTGCTTTTAATATGGTATGAATAATCATGGTGGAACTGCCATCTTATTGTGATTGCACTCTGAGTTTCATACAGGATCTGAAAGAAATATTTACAATCTTGAAAGTAGCGGAGTATCTATAATTGGTCGACTTAGAAGCAGAAACATGATGTAGGAGCTTTCCCTGTTTTTCTGATTGCATTTGCCTTTTCTTTTACCTTCAAGACTTCATTTCTGTACCGCTCCTCTGCCTGTGCCCTTGCTCCCTCTGCAATCTGTTTAATACGTTCCATATCTCTGTTGAACTTTCGTTGAGCTTTTACTCTTTTTTTCTCTATTTCACTCTGCAGGTTCAATAAGTTTAAGTTGGTTATTAGTCCATATGATCAAAGTATTACATTTGATAAAGAAATGAAACAAAACCTCTTTTGTACTGAGTCGGCTTCTGGTTTTCTTCTTCTTCTTGCTCTCCCAGGAAAGTATTGTGGCGTTTTGTTTCTCATACCTGACAATCATGAATGTTAGAGGAAGAACAGAAAATGATCTTAAATTCCAAGTTGGAAGCTCTCAAGAATCTGTAGTTCATTCAAATTCAATATATAATAAGAGATAGAACAGCATATGATCTTGAATTTCTAGGAGGAAACCATTTTAGGTATGCTCGAGTTTCTAAACATAATATAATAAAGAATGTAGATCACGTAAAATGTTCGCCAATGCTGAGTAGCTACCTTTCTTTAAGCCTAGCAAGCTTAGTCTCCTCCCAAATATCTGCTTGTGTTTTTCTTGTTCCAGGTTCTGTTGCACTCTGCCTCTGGGTTTCATTTGAAGGGCCTGCAGTCTCAGGTTTTATATTGTCAGCTTTCTTCAACTGTTTATCAGCAACAGTTGGAGTGTTTTTAATTGACGGGGAATGAAGGGGTTGTGGTGCTGCAGTTTCGGGTTTTATACTGTCAGTGCTGTTCAACTGCTTATCAGCAAAAGTTGGAGTTTTTTTTATTGACGGAGCCCTTCCGAGGACTTTCCCGGTTGTGGCAGTACCATCTGGATCTTCTCGTTCTGGAGTACTTTTAGTTGAACCTGCACCTAATACAGGCCATCTTCTTGGTTATGAACTTACAGTTTGCAAATAAAAACTGGGAACTCAGTTTTAGTTGTCATAAGAATGTTAACCATATTATCTTACCTGGGAATAGTTTGGAAACTCTTCCAGGTTCCGGCTTCGAAATTGCTTTTTCTTCCTTTTTGCTCTTGATCCTCACCAAAGAGGTTTTCGGCTCATTGCTGGTCTTTTTCTGATCAGAGATGGCTGAGTCTTCAATTGACTTAATGGCATATGCAGCTGCTGCCACTGCGGTCGCATGCTCTATTGCCTTGTTAGAATCGTAGTCTTGACTCATTTTTCCCGACAGCTGTCTCTGGAACCAATTCTGGGGTTTCCTTTTCTCTGCAAGAAACAGCTTAAACGGTTCACAATCTGATCATCCTGAAAAATTATTTCTACACCAGAAAATCTGTATTATTTTGGCTTGAAAATGGGTGATATTTTCCCGAGAAAACGGTTTCAAATATTACCTTTGAAAGCTTGAGCTTTCTGTGGCGGTATTCTACGATCATGTTCAGTCTTCTCTTGTCTTACACCAGAAAATCTCACCCTAACAATAGTGATTAGTCATATTTAAATGGATGATCTCCTCTGGTTATGACTAATAATCATAATTACAAGTTTAAAACAAATCAACAATTTTCAAAGTTACGGGTCGGAATACCTTATTTGCTTAAGCAAAGGCTCCATCTTTCAGATGAAACTGGCCCCCAAATTTCTTCTTTCCAAGTAATGATTTGGCACCCATAAGAAGTTGGTGTTTATTTGAAGGTTAAGCTTAGAGGGAAGGAGAGCTAGTTAATAGGCTGTAGTTAGGGCCAAGGCGGCAAGAAAACTTGAGTATACTTTGCATGCACGTAATGCCTGGTTTGAATCTTAAAAAAGGCCTTTCTGGTGAAGAAAAGCATTCCTTCTTTCCTTTGATTCTTAGTTTTCTGGCTTCCAAAGAACAAAGCATATGGGATCACAACATCACAGATAACAATGCTAATCTTCTATATCGAAAGAGTACTTAGATTACAACCCTACCAAAAGCTAAAGACATTTTATTCTAAGAACCAAAAAAAAAGGTAGCTAATGAATTATATAACAAAAAGTTTATACTAAGCGCAAGCAGGGGCATAGAAGTCTTTAATAGATACAAAGACAATTGAATCAGCTGCAACACTGATGGCAGAGGTAGGATCCACAAGTTTTGGTTCCATTTTAGGAATGTCTAATGAATTTGTGAGCTTCAAAGGATTTCCATTGAGCAGCACCACATCACTTTGAATATTGCCACCTTCTGGTGTCAAATGATACTCTTCTCTTTCTTGTCCAACTATACGACCATGCTTTCTCACCCGTATTGGCCCCAGATACAAATTGTTGTCGGGGAGGACAGCAACGTCGAAGGTGGTCGTGTTGGACATGTTGATCAAAACTAGAGTGATACCCTTCTGAAACAAAATATGTTGTGAATGTCATATATGTTAAAGATCCTTTTAAGTATTAAAAAAAGCAGAGGCTAATTGAAATCTGGGGTCTGAAACATTGAGTTACCTGATTCTTTGAGCAATGGGAATATGCACGCAAATAAGGGGAGCCAAAGTGCGTGGTGGAGAGCACCCTATTTCCCATTAGTCGATGCCACAAAAGAGCACTGGTGGAAAAGCAGAAGAAAAAAAATTAGCAAAATCCAATGAACATGTCAAGATAAGTTAGTTGATCATTTTAAGTTAAGAAAAATTTAAGGCAGAGATTCTAACCCATAATAGTCCGGATTAGGGATGAATGTTGTGGTATTAAGAAGAGCATAGTTCCCTCCAATCAAGGCTTGTCTGCAGTAAACCTTATGGTTGTAGGTTGATGTCATGCCAAGTTGGTCCAAGTACCTATTTCAATCAAAGTTAGATCCACATTTGTTTTGTTTGTGTGTGTCTTTCTAAATTATTGAAGCTAGAGAAAAGGTCCTGACCAGAAGCCATTAGCAAAGGTATGTGACACATATTTGCTACCACTGTTATAAGCTCCACCTGCTTCCCCAACCCAAGCTTCTGACCATGGCCCAAACTCCTTGATTGTATTTGACAGATCATAAAATGTCTGAGCTATCTCTGAAAGGAAAAATGGGTCTTGAACCCTGTCGATAAGGGTGGGATCAACACCTGCAATCACAATATTTTCATCAAATATACATCAAATCACAGACACACATCCTGGTCCAGAAGTGGGCATGATTAAGTACCTGCACCAAGATTGTAGAGGTGATGAGTTACCGCGTCTACGACACCGGGTCCTGTAGCCTGCAGGAAGTTTTCATACCATTTTTTGTCATAAAAGCTAGCAGGGCCTATAATCTTTGGTCGTTTAGAGGCATCTGGGTACAATTCTGTCACAACTTCTTTGAGCTTTTTGATGTCTTTTGCATATTGATCACTTTCTATCCTTGCAGCAACCCCACTCCCGGCTAGCTCATTTCCTGTTAGCATTTGCACTCAATGAGTAACACAATCAAGTTATATATATAAGTACATATCTAAGCCAAAATAAAAAGTAATTTTATTTACCAAGCTCATATGAATCAATCTGGTATCCCTTCGCAATAGTGTACTCCATGAGATCACGAGAGTTTTGCGGGTTCCAGTCACCAATCCGGAGACTTTTGTCTTTGGGAGACACTTGCTTCCCATGGAGGGCATTCAACCCAAATGTGATTTTAGCTCTATTACAATCAATATTGTGTGAGTTTGCTAGCAAATGTTCAAATAACCATGGAGCTTCCTCGTTCCTGCATAGCTTCGTATACACAAAAGATCAGCATATGTACTTACTTTGTATTGTTAAAGAAGTCATTGAGCTCATCCCATCTTTTCTGGTCAAGACAAGCATCGCTGAACCCGAACAAACCAGACTCTTGTTTTTTGAAACCTTCACATGATTTAACTCCATATCCAACACCATAATTCACCTGATCTTGCAATGAGCCTCCAACTCTGATTCTCATTGGATTGAAAGCTAAAATTATATCAACAAATTTAGTCCCCCTCCCCCTGTGATGTGACCGTAAACGAATAGTACTTTTTATTCAGAAACTTACCCTTGATAGCATTGTTCAAGATCTTGTTATCCAAATCCTGCAAAAATAGGCCCAAATTCCCAAGAAAATTCAGCTCCTCATCAATTTGTTTAATAAAGAAGATGAAAGAGTAAGCAGAGAAAGCAAAACAAAACATACATACCAGATTGAAGATGCCAGCCTTTCCCCATGGACACTGATTGTAGTCACATTTGTTAGTTGGCCACCAGTCCAGAGTTGCACATATGAAATTATCATCTGTGCTGGCTATTGAAGTAATGATTTAACTCCATATCCAACACCATAATTCACCTGATCTTGCAATGAGCCTCCAACTCTGATTCTCATTGGATTGAAAGCTGAAATTATATCAACAAATTTAGTCCCCCTGTGATGTGACCGTAAACGAATAGTACTTTTTATTCAGAAATTTACCCTTGATAGCATTGTTCAAGATCTTGTTAACCAAATCCTGCAAAAATAGGCCCAAATTCCCAAGAAAGTTCAGCTCCTCATCAATTTGTTTAATAAAGAAGATGAAAGAGTAAGCAGAGAAAGCAAAACAAAACATACATACCAGATTGAAGATGCCAGCCTTTCCCCATGGACACTGATTGTAGTCACATTTGTTAGTTGGCCACCAGTCCAGAGTTGCACATATGAAATTATCATCTGTGCTGGCTATTGAAGTAACCCCTTCAACGCTGACTTCAACATATTCAGCTAAAGATAATGAAAACCAAGATACAACGAAACAGCATATAAGTGCTCTGACTCTGAGTCTGGCCATCTTTTTCCACATACAGAAATCCGTGAAAGAAAGACGACATTTATATAGAAAAGTGGAGTTTGTTTGGGGATAAAAGTCAGATATTGATAACGACAAAATCTCTGTAATTTGGCCGTCTTTCAAATTCTTGTATTTGTTGATGTATATACCACTGATTCAGTCAAACTTAAATGTTCTCTCCTTATCATTATCATTTAAGTAGGAGTTCCTACTCATAGCAGTGTGACATGTGTGCACAAATTTTTCTTTTTGTGTTCTCGATGAATTATTTTTGCTTATGTTTCAAACTGTAATTCGCAGGGAATGAGGAGTATCAAGTAGTTTCCAAATGTTGATAAAAACCAAATCTTTGAATCTTTTGTCGTGTTATCTATTTATCCAATTTGAAATAATAATTTTGTTGCTCATCTATTGATATGAAGTTCAATTGATCATGGTTAAGGGTTATACTGATTGACTAATGTTGTATTTGTAAGAAACATATTATTGGTTGGTTTTTGACTGTGAGTGTGTTTGTCGAGTTTCAAGCTTACTAAACACCACCTCGTCCAATCCCTTCTTATCTTTAAATTGGACTTTTGGGTTAGAATAAAAAAGGTTATCTTGAAAAGGATTTTTGGATTCTGGCAAAATGAAAAGGATTTTTGGATTAGAAAAAAAAAAAAGGAAAAATGTTAAGGTAATTTAGAATTGAGGCCTTTATTTTGGGCTCACCTAAAATACAAAATGGAGGGCCCAAGTTCAAAGAAAAGAATTAAAAAGTTAAAAAATATACAGAAATGCTTTCATTGAGAGTCGAACTCAAGACCTCCCGCTTACTAAACGGGTGCTCTAACCAACTGAGCTATGAAAGCAATCTTGTTATTACCTTTACCACGAAAATATTTTAAATGTAACTCGGTGAAACCATCCCAACAAAGAATAAGATGCACTGCTTCACCTACCCACAATTCTTTCCCACGTTTATTACCATCAATCGGACAGATGGTTTTGGAGGTGGACGGCAATGTCATCATATGGCAGCAGCAGCAGTAGATGCCTGCAACTGTTAGAGAAGTGCAAGAACATGAAGCACTTGCAGCAAGCTCATGCACAAGTATTCACATGTGGGCTTGGCAGCAGCAGCTTTGCCTTGAGCAGGGTCCTGGCCTTCTGCTCAGACCCAAATCATGGAAGCCTCTCCCATGCTTGGAAACTCTTCCGACACATCTCACAACCCACCATTTGCATCTACAACACCATGCTAAAAGCTTTATTGCTCAGAAATGATCTCATCCTAACCATCAATGTATTTACCAAGATGTTGCAAAATGGGATGTACCCAGATAATTATACCCTCCCTTATGTGTTAAAGGCTTGTGCTAGGCTGCAAAGCTCTTGTCTTGGAGAATTGGTTCATGGGTGCAGTTTGAAATTGGGTTTCGTATCTGATATCTTTGTGGGTAACTCTCTGATTGTCATGTACTGTGCATTTGATGATATGAAAGCTGCAAGACACATATTTGATGAAATTCCTAGCCTAAGTGCTGTTTCATGGACAGTCATGATTTCTGGGCATTCAAAGGCGCGTGATCTTGACGCAGCAAGACTCTTCTTTGATGAAGCTCCTGTGAGAGACAGAGGACTATGGGGTGCCATGATTTCTGGGTACGTGCAGAATAATTGTTTCAAGGAAGGTCTTTATATGTTCCGGCTGATGCAGCTTACAGATATAGAGCCTGATGAGGCAATTTTGGTCAGCGTTCTATGTGCATGTGCTCATTTGGGAGCTCTGGACACTGGGATTTGGATTCACTCGTATTTGAATCGGCTTCGGTTGCCGCTGAGTGTTCGTTTGAGCACTGGTCTTATTGACATGTATGCTAAATGTGGGAAATTGGATTTGGCTAGAGGACTGTTTTATCAGATGCCAAAGAGAGACACGGTTTGTTGGAATGCTATGATTGCAGGAATGGCAATGCATGGAGATGGAGAAGGTGCAATTCAGCTGTTTGGAGAGATGGAGGCTGCTGGGGTTAGGCCAGATGATATCACCTTCATTGTTGTGTTTACTGCTTGTAGTTATTCAGGCATGGCACATGAAGGCATGAAGGTGTTTGATAAAATGTGTCGGATATACAACATTGAGCCGAAAAGCGAACATTATGGATGTATAGTCGACCTTCTAAGCCGTGCCGGTCTCTTTGAAGAAGCAAAGGAAATAATTCAAAGAATGCCCAGTTCAAGTAAACCATCTGAAGAAGCAGTGGCTTGGAGGGCGTTTCTTAGTGCTTGTTGCAATCAGGGACAAGCTCAACTAGCTGAGGTTGCTGCGGAGAAACTCTTTCGGCTCGAACGCCACAGTGGGGTCTATGTCTTGCTCTCAAATTTATATGCTGCCGGGGGGAAGCATGGTGATGCCAGAAGAATGAGGCATTTGATGAGAAACAGAGGAGTAGAGAAAGCACCAGGTTGCAGTTCGGTTGAGGTTAATAGAGCAGTTCATGAATTCATTGCGGGGTAGAAAACACACCGGCAAATGGAAGAAATACAATTAGTTTTGGGGACCATAAGCAAACAGTTGGATTTTTTAGGCAGTTATCCATATTTGTTTCTAGCTGACAAGACATGAATCAATTAAATAAGGTTAATTGCCCGCCCAATTCCTAACCTTGTATTTCATGCAGCTGATAATACAGAGACCTAATCTAAACCAAAATTAGCGCTGAAAATAAAAATGAAACGCCAAGAATGGGTAGGGAATGTTAAATTTTGCTTCTCTGATAACACATGATATTGTATCCCTGTTGAACTGGGTATATACTATGATCTAAGACATCCATCAGTTCTGAAACTACTATTTACGATTTCAGCAACTCCTCAGACAGTTAGCAACATAGGAACTCATTAATGACATCAAAACTTCATCGACACAGATTTTTCATTTCATTCAGAGACTACGTGAGCCCTTGTTTGGGCAGTACATAAACACAATTGGTAACAAATAAATAATTGCTTGATGTCTTGACTAAACAAGAAATTCCGTGTCAGTGAGCTCAAGAACTTTGTGTATGCCTATCGGTTTCACACCTGGTCTGAATGCATTCCCTTCAATATACCTACAACCGAGATATCAAACATTTAGCTGCATAGTTTCAGGAATTAAAAGTTTCTGAGTTCCAGAGGCAAAAAAACTCACATGTCTTTCAAGAATGGGTGTTTATAGAAGGCATCGGGAATTCTCCCTGAAAATTGATTGTGATCCAAATACCTAAAATTGATAAAATGAACCATAAGCATGTTGGTGAAAATAATTTTCCACACAAATACACTCATATGCACAAGAGTTTCAAGATAACAAACTGATATATGAATCCTGATATATCAATTTCACCAATGAATGGGGAAGTGTGTTAGTCTCTAATAGAAGCCAATAAAGCCAATAAAGCCAACAAGAAATGCATGTCAATGTAGCTAAAGGAATCAAAAATCTTGAAAATCCCTAGTCAATTTTCCATGAGAAGCGAGGGCAGCAACTACAATTATGTAGGATGCTGTCAGAATTTCTAGTGTGCCAAGATAATTTGCCCACATGCAAGGTATAGTAGATATTAGACAATTCGAAAAGATGATTGCAGAATTAATAAAAAGGAAAACTCTTGGTTGAGAGCGAAAGATAATGCATGTCTAAAAAAAATAAAAATTCACAACCAGAAATGAATGAACTTACACATCTACTTCCTCAATCTAATGCAGTAGTAGGTAAACCTTTGTCAGGGTTGTTCAGTTAGCCCAAGATTTGCTATAATGGTGCTTTTTACATAATTTTTTATTTACAATAGTGTAATAACGATATGTAGTTCAGTGGTATTGCAAGAGTCTAGATTACAAGTTGAATACTGCCATTAAAAAGGAGGCAAAACCCTTAATGAAAGTACCCCTAAACACCAACTATTCAAGCACAAATAAAAAGAATAGAAATTTCATAAAAAGAAACTCACAAGTAAGTCAATCTCGGAATATGGGAAAGTCCTAATGGAACTATCCCAGACATCTTGTTGTAAGATAGGTACCTGTAGCCAACAAAAGAATTAACCCAACAAACTTTATCTCAGGTAAAAATGTAATTATAACACATACACAGAGGGATAGAGAAACAGAGAGAGAGACATACAAGATTTCCAACTTGGTCAAGTTTGCAAGCTGTGCTGGAATTCCTCCCGTAAGATAGTTGTTGTTCAGGTAACTACATAACCCAGTTGCAAAAAGAACAACTTAATTTATCATATCATTTATACTAGAGGTGTAAGTAATTATGTATTCATCAGCTTGGATTAACTTACAGGTTACGCAAAGCTGGAAAGCAGCCCTCAATGCGTATGAGTTCCCTAATGGTACCCACCAAATGATTATTACCAACGTCCCTATGAACAAATGGCATCACAATGGCACACATCAGTAACCAGATACAGATGCGTTATCATTAACAATATGCGAAGAACTATGTAAACATACAAGTGCCGAAGATTTTGCAAAGTTCCTAGTTCTGCAGGAATCCGCCCAATAAGACGATTTTCTTGCAGATAGAGATAGCGAAGCTCTGGAAGATTAGCAAGCTCCTTTGGAATTTCCCCTTTGAAACTATTAAAGCTTAGATGCCTACAGAATTATTAGTTCATAAAAATAGTGAATAAGTAAATAAATCATGGTGAAATAGTCACAGAAAAGAAAGATGCAAATCATTGTGAAAGATAGAATCTAAGTTCACTCACAAATGGTTTAAACTCTTCAGTTCACCAATTTCGGGAGGAATGACATCTTGTAACTTATTCCATCTCAAATTACTGAGAATTAAAAAAAAATCAAAAGCTTCTATTAGAATTAAGAAGAAGATGGCAAATCCATCTCTAACGGTCAACCTGCTAGCATATAAAAGCATGTTATCGCATAAACCAAATACTATGCCCATAAGTTGAACAGGAAACAAACTAATCTAAAATAAAAAGAGGAGTAGAAAGGCTGTACAGCATTTTAAGACGCTTCAAACGTCCAATTTGGGGGGGAATAGGGCCCGTCAGCTTGTTGTTATGGAGATCCCTGTGACATGAACGAACACAGTCACATACAGATACATCAGATTCTTGAAAACAAATATGAAGTTTGAGTTTTGACAAAACTGAAAAACAACTGAGGGGTTATTAATTATGAATGTGTAGCTTATAAATTTGAGGTTTATAAACGTCAATGAGTAAATGAGCACTGAAACAATATAAATTTGTATTAATTGTGAGCAAATTGCAAATTAAAGAGATATTAAAGAGCAGCAGATTTAAAGAGGTGTTCTTACAGCCTAGTGAGATCCAAGAGATTGGTGACAGCAGTTGGAAAAGGCCCAACAATTGAGACTGCATAAACCTCCCTGCAAATTAGCAAAACAAAAACAACATTAATACATTTTTTTCTGCAAAATTGAAAACTCTGGGCAATCGCATCGAATCGGATATAAGGCAAAAGAAAATGGCTTACAACTCAGTGACGACTCGATAATCGCCTTGAGTTGAGCAAGTGACGCCGGACCACGGCGGAAGGTCGCCGTCTCCGCACGGATCGTCTCCGACCCAAGCGTACACAACTCTCCAGCCCAGCGAAGCCTTGATCTCGTTCAATGCTTTCACTGCCCAAAATCCCCACAAAAATTCCATATTTCCAAGCCAAACGCAGAGAGAGAGAGAGAGAGTGAAAATACAAGTGAAGTGAATGAAGGAGCTGAGAGAACTTACTGTCACGTTTGAGGGTTTTGGCGTTGAGAAGCAGAGGATAGGATAGAAGGAGGATCAGAGAAAATGCGGCTAACGAAAAACGAAGCGCCATTTTCGTTTTTGGGAAGCCAAAACCTCCAAAAGGATTGAAGATCCTAGCTAGATCTCTCTGATCTCTCACACACTTGACGCAGACTTTCAACTAGATTGAGTGGGTAACATTTATTTATTATTTGAATAGATCTCAAACTCAACACTCAAAACTCATTTTTGATTTCTGAATAGTTGAAGAACGGTGTTTTCTCCTTCGATCTTTTCTTTAGTCTTCAGTGTTTGGCCAAACGCGGAAAGGGAACTCTCTCTTCTTTCGTCCGTCGGTAGCCGGATTTTTATTATTATTTCTTCGTTTTTGTTTTATTTTATTTTCCTTGGTTCTGATTGGTGGGGGCCTCTTTTCGGCTTCCCGTTTAGTTACCCGCGGTTCACAGTACGCTGCGTTTTGTGAATTTGGTGACCAATAAAAAAAAAGAAGGAAAACTTCGTGATAATCTTCATTAGAAAAATGTAAGATTTTCTAACTCAAATTTCATTTGCACTTTTCCTCTACTACACGTCTACAGTGGCGGACCTGTGCAGGCGCAAGGAGGTGCACCTGCACCTTCGGTCGCCGGAAAAATCCATTACAGCCTCTGGTGTTGCACCTCTGCTTCAGACCAGATATGCACACAATCTGTTCGACGAAATGCGCAAACCAACTCTACAATTTCATGTGATAATTTGTCTGCATTGGCTCTTAGTTCTAATCCTATATATCACTCACGCATCAAGCACCTCGACATTGATTTTCATTTCATGCGCGAAAGGGTGCAAAGGAATCATCTTACTGTCCAGTATATTCCTACTGAAGAACAACTAGCTGATGTCTTTACTAAAGGACTACATAGTCCTGTTTTCTTGAGCCATTGTGCAAACATGAGGCTGGGCAACCTAGAGCTCGATTTGAGGGGGAATGATAACAATAATAGTTAGCTAAGAGTTTGTTAGTGTTGGCACGTGTGGTTCACATGTTACAGCTGTAGTGACAGCTGTTAGTTAGTTTGTTTACAGCTGTAATTAGTTAGTAAACATCTGCGTTGCTGGTTCTTGCGCGCAGCGCGCGCGACCTTGTTTTTTTTTAATGAAGCCTGGCCAAAACGACGTAGTTTTGGATCAGGCTGTTTAAATGACGCAGCTTTTTTTTTTTTTTTAACCTGGCCAAAACGACGTCGTTTTGGACCAGGGTTTTTTTTTAAAAAAAAGAGGAAAAAATAGGGAAGCTGCTGGGCCATTTCGTGGGCTTTTCTAAGGCTTCTATAATTCCTTCTATAATTGGGTTTTAATTGGGCTACTATAATTTCTTAAATAATTGGGTTTTAATTGGGAGTTCTCTTTATTCAATTGAGTTATGGGAATTCCTTATTTGAATGTGATTGGGAATTTTCTTTATAAAAGACCAATTTCACATCACCCAAATTCATCAAACCCTTATTTTGTTTTAATTGTACAGTTATGGAACGGTACTTTAAGAGAAAGAGTTTAAATCCTCCTTCAAATAATCCGAGTAGTTCAAATCCTCCTTCAAATAATACGGGTAGCTCTAACCCTCCTTCAAATAATCCGGCTAGTTCCAATCATCCTTCAAATAATCCTTCAAATAATCCGCCTAGCTCACATCATCCTTCAAATAATCCGCCTAGTTCCAATCATCCTTCAAATAATCCGCGTAACAAAATGGGGAATCAATGGTTGAGTGATAGCTTGGTTGTTTACATTGAGAAGGATGTTTTTTCTTTTTTTTGGTTTTTTTTTTTGAGCTCTTAGCTTTTAAAAATTGCACCTCCGCTGCAAAATTTCTGGGTCCGCCGCTGCACGTCTATATTAACATAGTGTGAGTATTAAACTCAAAATAATTCACAATAGATGGAGATGTTGAATTATTTTTTAAATTATTAAGTAACACTTCAATTCTCCGATATGAATTCGCAATAATAAATACACGTGTTTGGCCATGTAAAAAAATATCTTTATTCGTTATCAAGAAAGTGTAAATACGATAAGAATAAGATTCGAGAGGAAGATAACTTCTTACTGCGTTGGTGCTCTCTTCCCTGTCCTAAATCAAAAAATTGATGAGAATGTTGAATTTATGAATGGCATGACCTACATGTTGTATACTTAAGTCATACTTTCCCACTGAATTCCCTAAGTGCATCATTATGATAGATGTGATCCATAATGTTTATCCCAAACAGTATTTATGACTTAATCACGATTGATAATATTTTGAAAACGATACAATACCTTGTTATACAATGTTGCCGGTTGGGGATACGGTATATTTGTACGTACCAACATACAGTCATCGACACAAACCAACCAGCAAACTTGTCTTGCCAATACAGTAAAACAGTTTTTCTTAATTAAAAAAAAAAATTACTGACTCTTAATCTGAGAGTACATCTCTTTCGAAATCCCGATTTCAAGTTTCCCCACCACAACCACCAAGGTTGTGTCACGGGGTTCACCTCACAACTGCAGTTGGCAAATTAAGTTGAAAGATGATGTATATTTTGGGAACATTCATGTCATGCATGAATGAGTTAAAAGGGACAAAAGAAGAACAAACCAAACTAGAAATAAATAAAATTTCATTCATATACTCTGATGATATCCCCAGAAATAGAAAATAACCAAACCAAGGCTTCCTTCGCTTCAACTGTTTCTACCTGACTATACACGAAAATATTAAATGCGGGCCCACATATTGGCTAGTATTACACGGGTTGAAAAGTCCATTTTGACCTCGAAAAAGAATGGGTTACCCGTTGCCCCCCCCCCCCGCGATTGAATTGACATTATGGCAGTCATGGACTTCTTTTGAATTCTTCTGTAATCTCCTCCACCCCTGGACTCTGGACCATTTTCCATGCTTGTTTTTGCCGCTTCCACAAAAATTTGTCTGCCCTCTCTAATCTCTAAGCAAAAGGTAGCGATGGCCCGATAGTTCAAAAACAAGCATGGAAATAGGTAGCTAACACACAACAAGTAGTAAAGAAAATTAATACTGATTAAACAAGTAGCCTAGCTCCTCCTTCGATCTTCAACCTCTCCTTGACATCTTCTGATATCTTCTTGGGTGTTCAAGAAATGAAAGATAGACCAAGAAATGCTAAAGAAGTATAAATAATGGGGATAGAGACTTTATTTTTTCAATTGTGAAGAGGGTTGGGGCCGGAGGGGACAAGTCTCTTCTCGACGCCGTATCTTGGGTCAATCTCATCGTGGTGATCTAGAGCGACGGGTGGAGGCGGTGGTGTTTGGGGTTGGTAGGCGTGGAAGATTTTGTGTTGGTGGAGTTGAAGGCACAAAGAACGTAACTGGGCACTTGATGATTGCGAAACTGAGCTCTGATGATCACACGGCTGAGGATGAAGAGGATGGTGGTTTGCCTCCTGGACCTTGTAGTGTAGCAACTTGTCTTCTTGGTCAGTGCTAGGGTTTCTTGGTACAATATTGGTTGGGCTAGAGATCACGGGTGTGGCGGCAGATGTGAGAAGAAGCGAAAGGAAGACCACCACCAAGGCCAAGACCGAAAGCCTCCGGAGACCGAAAGTAGAGGTTGAACAAGAAGAGAGAGATCTCTTCATTTTGAATTTTTGTTGGGTTTTTTCTTTCTATGCTATGGAGATTGTGAAAGAAAGGGAGAGTAAGTAAGAGAGGTAGAGGGTTGATGATGGATGGTGATAGAATGAGTGAAGAAGAGTATAAAAGAATTTTAATGCAAAGGCGCAAGAGACACATGAAACACTATAAATTGCCCAGAAACCGGAGTGGTCACAAATTCACGGTTGGCTTGGCTTGGCTTCCTCTTTCTTCTATTCTATAATCCTCTTTAGGGGTTATATTCGTCATATGAATAGAGTCGGCAATCACATGACTCACGTAAATATATGTACTCGCTTAATTATGTAGTCTCCTTCCTCCTATCCAATCCAATCCAATCCAATCATGTCATTTAAAACAAAAAAAGTAGAAGGAAAATTCAAACCAAGAATGGACAAATGAAAAGTGGCCACAATTCGACCAATTGGACTGGACTTTTATGTCACTGAGATGGCGTTCAAAGATTTCTGATTGGGTTTCAACCTCCCCATTTCCTTGACAAGCTTGGAAACCCACAAAGTGGCCCAGCCCTTTTTCTTCACAAATCCTGATGACAGAAATTTCACTTTCTTCGGCTCATACAACCACAATATCTCGGAATAAATAAAAGAAGAATATGCCTAAGAATAAATATATATTTTCATAAATACCATCCAATTCCATAGCTCATCATCACTGTCATCTCATCGCCCACAATGACCATTTCTCAAACGCCCTTCATCTTCCTCCTCCTTCTCTTTGCCTTCTTCACGCCAACCCATCAAAATGTTTCAGTCTCTCTATCCAAAACCACTCTGTCCAAATCCGGCGACTCAGTCCTCATCCAATGGTCCGGCGTCGACTCACCTTCCAAGCTCGACTGGCTCGGCATCTACTCACCCCCTTCCTCCCACCACGACAACTTCATCGGCTACAAGTTCCTCTCCTCCAGCCCCACCTGGAAATCCGGCTCGGGCTCCATTTCCCTCCCCTTAGTCAACCTCCGATCCAACTACTCCTTCCGGATCTTCCGCTGGACCGAAGCCGAGGTCGACCCGAACCACCTCGACCAAGACCACAACCCTCTTCCGGGAACCGCCCACCTGCTCGCCACGTCGGACGATGAACTCACCTTCGAATCGGATCGGGGCCCGGATCAGATCCACCTGTCCTACACCGACGCAGACGACGAGATGCGGGTCATGTTCTTGACGTCAGACGCCGGGGAGAGGACGGTTCGATACGGTCCGAGCGACGACTCGCTTGATGACGCGGCAGTGGCGCATGTGGAGAGGTACGAGAGGGAGCACATGTGCGATTCTCCCGCTAACGCTAGTATCGGGTGGAGAGACCCCGGTTTTATTCACGGTGCGGTCATGACCCGGTTGAAAAAAGGCCTCAGATATTATTACAAGGTACAAAAATTAGATTAAATTATTAAACAAATTGACAACGAATTTTTTAAAATTCTGATTATGTTATGTTAATGTTTTCAGGTTGGGAGTGACAATGGAGGTTGGAGCAAAACGCACAGCTTCGTGTCACGAAACGGGGATTCAGACGAAACGACGGCGTTCATGTTCGGCGATATGGGCACTGCAACGCCTTATGCGACGTTTTCTCGGACCCAAGACGAGAGCATATCCACAGTAAAATGGATCCTCCGAGACATTGAAGCTCTCGGCGACAAGCCGGCTTTTGTGTCCCATATTGGAGACATAAGCTATGCAAGAGGCTA